TTGGGTTAATGGTTGGACTCGATGAACTTAAAGGTCTTTTCCAACATTAATGATTCTGTGATTCTGTAATATGAGACAAATCCCTGTGATGAGTTGTTTATATATTTAGCTGACAACGAAACCAAAAAATGTGGTCTATCTGCAGCTGCTTTAATTGAAGTGCAGGAAATTTGGATTCTTAAACCACAGGAAGCTGTCATGAGTTGATCAAAACTGGAATAGAATCTTGTGGAGCCTTTTTTCCATTTGTGTTTACGTAACTTGTGGCTATTGCAGAAAGCTTGGTAACTACTGTTTCGCTCAGGCACTTTATCTAATTACAACTACTAAATCAGAAAACTATTTTCCCAGAATGCAATCACATTTCCTTTTTCAAAACACTGACTACTTTTCAACTACGTCACAAGCATCTCATTAGGAAAGGCAATATTTCAAACATTTTATTAAATATATATAGGATTTAATGATATAAAAGTTGCCTCTTCTGTGCAAGCCAGATCGTAGTAATCTCTAAAAAGAACACATTTTTTTTTTACTTTCTCTGAGAAAGGAAGATAGAAAAGGACAACTTTAATATATACCAACAGTTCTAGAGTAACATTACAGACCAGACTCACATGTCTATCTTCTCACCTGTTAATCTTTATTTTCCTGCCAAATTTTATTACCTTTTACCATTTACCCCTGGTTTGCAAGTTCTACCTCTCCTCATATCTCTGTAAAGAATGCAGATGGTAATGGAGGAACAGAAGTGCTTATAGGAGGAAATTAGCGATACGGAACCAGACCTGGTGTCCGTTTGGAAGGACCCCTTCACTCAAAGAGTCTCACCAGACTTGGTGCAGACATTGAAGATGGACACAGGACAGGGTACATGGACAACTATAATTCACAAACCTTCTACATTTCCAGGCCCTTATATGGTACTACACTATAGTATTGATACTATATACAACAGTCCAAACTCTTCCCAACATTTATGTTCAAATTATCAATAGACAAGAAGACTTCTTTGATACTCTTTCTTCCAGCCTGCATTGTGTGTAGTAGAAAGTGGTCAACCAGGGACACTAAAAAAATGCAGACACAGCCTACGCTCTGACAGTCAGTACAATGTTGTAGCATGTGCAACAAAGACAAGAATCTTCAAGACTGGTGTCTTACAACAGCTGTCCCTTCACTGATCCCATCTGCATCCTCCTCTGGGAAATCACATATTCCAATTGCTTGTTTGGATTTGGCTTTTTTTTAAATTGTTCTACAGTACAAATGACATGTTTATTGCTTGTGGAGAGCAGGTCTAACAATGCTCTTGCTTTTTATTGCATTCTTTCTTCTTACTGCAAGTTTGATTTTTGACACTTACTACTGTCTGACTGCATCAAAAACAGAAGCCACAGATGTGGAGGGGGGGAAATAAAGTTTTATTAAGTGCAAAAATGGAACAAAAAATGCAATATAAATCACTGAAATAACCCATTACCTCAAACCAACTATCATGGGAATTCAGTTATAAATTGACATACACGATCAGGCAAATCAACACAACTACAGTCTATAAAAGTCATATTAGCAACTCCTTTTCTCTAGGGACTGGTAAACAGAAAGCAGGCATTTCCAAGCCCTGATTAAAGTCAGTGATTCAGGATATAAGAGCAATAAGAACAACATCTGGTGTTAATATGGGGATGCATATCCTTAATTTCGCTTGTCTCCCTTTACCACAGCATGGGCAGTGACGATCACTTATAGAGATTAAATGACTGTGTCACGATACCATTCTGAGCAAAAATATTTGTTCCTTTACAGCTATTGAGTAGTTCATTGTACTACATCTGAATGTCTGCTTCGCTGGCATTCAAACAACTTTGGAGTTGATGTCGTTTAGCTTTCAACTTTTCATGTGTATAGTCCTCTGGTATTCTGTAAAACCTCAGTGAGGTCAAATTCTGTATGGTCTCACAATCTTCAGGGTACCGCTTCATGAAGTATAGCAGGTTTATGCAGTCACATCATCTCTCCAAGCTGATGTGAGGGGACATTCATGGCAAATTCAACCTCAATTTATAGTAGCTGATAGCTTTTAACAATACATGTGCACTATCGATATTCACATGCTTAGTATAAGACATTTGACACTTTATGTTGTTAGGCAATACATTAATGACAGCATATGAAAAACTATGTGGCTGAGGAGCAAGTTTAACACCTCAGTTAAGTACCAGGAAAGTTACTAACTTTTCTGTCAGCTGTTTGGACAAAAAATGGATGTGGCCAGTACATCTGATGGCATTTCTGAAGTAGGGGCAATCATTAGTCCTGCAGGAGAATGTTAAAACTGATCTGTCATTAGAAATCACAGGAAACACTGGTAAAGAACTGAACTTTGAGAAAGATTTGGAAATACAAAGACACGCATATATACAGAGCAGAAATCCTCTTCAGTAAAAGCTTAAGCCAGAGAATGGCTTTTGCCTCAGGATCACATTTCAATAGCTCTTCAGCTGCCTGACAGAAAGAGGGAGACCTCTTGGAGCTGATCTGAAGGACACCACAGATGTATGCCTTACTCCTTTGTTCCTTTCCATTTGTGTGTTAACCTGGCACCTGTATTGACTCCATTTTGTAAACCCACATTTAGCCTTTACCTGAACATTTGTCAAACTATGCTTGAGTACAGGATATTTGACAAACACCACAGTATTTCATTCTCATGAAACTTGGGACATTGCCCTGACACCTAGCACTCCAGTTATGTCCTCAAGTGCACTGGGAAAGTAACAGAGCTCGTCCACTACAGCAGCATGAATTAAGCGTCAGTGCCAAAGAGATGTCTCCTCAGAACTAGCATTATTTGAATGCAAGACAATGATGAGAGTGGGCTGAGCCTTGATGGTCTCCTAGCAAACTGACAGATCTTCCAAAATCATCCTCCATTGAGTTCTCCCCTTTGGTACTAGGAGGAAGTATTGTTCCATTTTATCCAGGAATTTATGTCAGATTGGTATCTTCTCTCAGGCAGCTAACAATAAGGGAGGATTACCATGGTTTTGAATGGAATTACTAAGTATTATTTTTTAAAAAAAACTAAATAAAAATGTTCAAAAGGGTTGGGAATATTTGTACATACCAAAGATGTAATTTTCACATAAATCCTGTACATACTTCAGGATTTGATAAATGGACTGTTTAGTGGATGAGGGGTTGGTTGGATGGTCACACCCAGAGGGCAGTGGTCAACGGCTCAATGTCCAGATGGAGATCAGTGACAAGTGGTATCCTTCAGGGGTCCATATTGGGACTAGTACTCTTTAATATCTTCATCAATGACAGAGACAGTGGGATCGAGTGCACCCTCAGCAAATTTGCAGGTGACACCAAGCTGATTGGTGCAGTTGGCACGCCTAAGGCATAGGATGCCATCCATAGGGTCCTGGACAAGCTCAAGGAATGGGCCTGTGTGAACCTCATGAGGCTAAGTGCAGGCTCCTGCACCTGGGTCGGGGCAACCCCCAGTATTTGTACAGGCTGGGGGATTAAGAGATTGAGAGCAGCCCTGACAAGAAGGACTTGGGGGTACTGGTGGGTGAAAAGCTGGACATGAGCCAGCAATGTGCACTTGCAGCCCAGAAGGCCAACCGTATCCTGGGCTGCATCCAAAGCAGCGTGGCCAGCAGGTCGAGGGAGGTGATTCTGCCCCTCTACTCTGCTCTGCTGAGACCCCACCTGGAGTCCTGCGTCCAGCTCTGGAGCCCTCAGCACAGGAAAGACATGGACCTCTTGGAGAGGGTCCAGAGGAGGCCACCAAAATGATCAGAGGGGATGGAACACCTCTCCTATGAGGACAGGCTGGGAGAGTTGGGGTTGTTCAGCCTGGAGAAGAGAAGGCTGTGGAGAGACCTTATTGCAGCCTTCCAGTGCTTGAATGGGGCTTATATAGGAAAGATGGGGACAAACTTTTTAGCAGGGCCTATTGCAAGAGGACAAGGGGTGCTGGTTTTAAGCCAAAAGAGGGTAGGTAGATTTAGACGAGATATAAGGAGGAAATTTTTCACAGTGAGAATGTTGAAACACTGGCACAGGTTTCCCAGGGAGGTGGTAGATGCCCCAGCCCTGGCAACATTCAGGGTCAGGTTGGACCTGAGGCTCTGAGCAACCTGATCTAGTTGAAGATGTCCCTGGTCACTGCAGGGGGCTTGAACTAGATGACCTTTAAAGGTCCCTTCCAACCCAAAGATTCTATGATTCTATGATTCAGCTGAAGGCAGCTCAAGGTATAATGTAGATACCAGTGTCCATGAGCAAAATACTAATATCTCTATCCCATCCCCCTCTTCTCCCTGCCAAAATGAGCATTTACAGTGTTCTCTGTGGAATAGGAGGGTGAAAACCGTCTTTACCATTCCTGCAAATCACTCCCGCTTGGCTTGTCTAGACCCCGTACAAGTCAGTAGTGAATAGTGTTAGCCTGACCAAGTCTACCCTACTCTTTCTAACGTTCCTTTTCTCTGTTTTCTGCTTGATATTGGCCAAAGCCTGCATGCCAAGCTCTCTAGAGTAGGAGCTGTTTGGATCTACTCCCAAGCAGGAGCCATAGGAAATACCAAAATACAAAACCAGGAGCATCTATATAACAATACATTGCAAATACTGATACATTCATTAAAGGGCCTCAAAAAGTATGCAAGTATAACTAATATCTTTCAACAGTACTGGAAAACATGAAATCAAAATGTTCTACATTGGGCTTCATGCCCCATGGTAAGTCCTAAGCAGAATTAAATTTCTTCTCCTTGTGCAGGTTGCTGAGGAAACCCTGGGATAGCATTTAGTATTGGGGTTAACATCATCCTAGCCACTGTAACAATTTCTACATTTTTCTCAGATCTCAGACTTGGCCTCTTATAAACACTATCTTCCCAAAGTAAGTGTGCAGTTTGTGTTTTCTAGTAGTTAGCAAAATGCACATTTTTCTGCAGCATCTTCTGTCTCCAGAATTGTTATACGACTGCATTAAAGTCACAGCCCTCAGTCTGTGGTTGAGTCCCTTCTGAGCCTAGGTCATGATTATTATAGTGCCCTTTGGTGTTCATCTTGGTAGGTTTCGCTGGCATCAGGTACCGAAGGTTCTTCCAAAATTTGGAATTCACAGGAAGAGATTTATCCTTTTTCCACTTCACAACCCTCTTTGATGGTAAAAGAGACAATGATTCTGGCAAGAAATTGTAGTCACTTATAGGCATATATTCAATTAATATGATCTTAGTTTTTCTTTCAACTAGAGCTTTATGAAGTCCACTCTCAAGTTCATATATGGCTCTGTCAGAAACGTAGTTCTGGCTCAGTATAATGATTAATCTTCGACTTTTGTCAATGAATGAATGGATATCATCAACAACCGCTGCAAATTAAAGATAAATGTGTTATTAAATTAAATTGAAAGGGTAGGCACTGAATTGACTTATCCTTTAATAATCACACATGTACCAAAAATGTTGCCCTTATCAAGTGACAGCATGTAAGCATCCTGCCCCTAAGAAAAGATTAATATATGTTACAGTTTAAGAGTCTGCAAAAATGAGCTCAGGTGTGGCCAAAGCTTGTTCTCTGGAGCAGACAAAACCTACATACAATCTCCAGCTACCCTTGACAGCCATCTGTCAGTAGTCACATGAATAGGCGATGACCCCAAAATTTATTTTTCCTCCAACCATACATCTCTTTGCTCTTTCTTAATAGATACCATCGAAGTGATTCCACAGAAAGTCATCAACAGCAACCTCTCTCCAAATATTGAGTAACTTTCAAGTTACTCCTTCCTTTATGTCACCAAATACCCAAATCTATTGCCAGTAAGACAAGGTTGAGAAGACTAGCATGTGATGACAGAATGAGTTCCAACGGTGTTTTAAATACATGACTTTTGTCATTACAAGCAATGAATGAAATCAAATAGTGATACCCATGTACCAAATTGTATTCTCATGCATAACTTCCTGTGCTTGCTTCAGCACCATGGGACAACAAGGTCTATAGAAACCAGAGATCTAGAAAACATGCCTTGTACGGAAAGGCAAAGCAAACTGCAGCAGTAACCTAAAAAAAAGAAAACCGAGGGGAGAAGGAGGCTGACAAGGGTATGACAACACCCCAAAATCTCCTGTAAATAGAAGAAAATACTCTGTTTTCCATATTCACGATGGATCAGACCAGAGAAAAGGAAATAAGCTAAAACTATTGAAAGAATCAGAAAGCCTTTTTTTAATATTAAAGGAGAAAGAATAACTGGAAATGGCTTGGGAGAGTTGTGGCAACTCTCAGGTTAGAAAGATATGACAGGAATGGAGACAAGGAGAGGAGATCCTGCTTTCTGAAGGAGGCTGACTGACCTTATTGTTCCATGTTTTTACAATTAAATCCTATTACTCAGCTAGATCTTTGGACTAAATGGAATCCCCCAGTATGTTTTTTCCAAGCATCTGCAAAAGGCCATCTATCCATAGGCCTGTCAGAAAAACAAAATTCCATGTTCTCATTTCTATTTTGTTATGGCATCCATTACATTCACAAAATGGTTTCAACCACCACATTGAAGATACAGCAAACATGCAAGTTACCTGAGAATAACTAGTACCAGAGACACCAGCTGCTCTGTGCAGTAAATGTGAGTTCAGTCATAGGCACCTGCTCTCAGCAAAAGCAGAGCAAGAGCACTATTACGTGAAACATTGTCTGACATCATCTGCGTTCTCACTTTAACTTCCTCCATGCTAATTTTTTCACCTGTTCATCTTGGTTCTGTGTCATTAAAGATACGTATGTACGTGTGCAGGTGTATATGAATTCATAAATATATCTATAAAATATGTGAAATGTGTGCATGCAAAGTTTGCATGTAGCATTTCAATGCACAACACATTTGACAGAATTCCTTCTAATTACAGATTTTTGTCTTTCTGTGAAAATGATGTGCCTATTCAATGCCAAGAATTTTCAATACACTTACCTCCTCCAGGAGATACATCCCTCTCAAATACACATAATTTGTACCCAAAGTTTTCTTCTAATATCATAGGTAATATCTTCAAAGCAAATTCTCTCTCTTCTTCAGTAGCAGAAACGCAGTCTTTCAGGTAAGACACAAATGCATCATATTCTTTTCCATCTGTAAAAAAAAAAAAATCACCAATTGTTGTCTTGTTAACAACCAGTAGAAACACAGTATCTGATCCACCATTCTGGTTTTCAGAGTTATTGTCTCAGTAGTAAAACATCTAGAAACTCCTGCTCTTTCCTTTGATATCCTGAAGAGTCTTCAAACAAAAAGTTCCTGAATCAATTTAAATTTGATACAAAAGATTCTGATTGCATTGGGCAAATATTTGAAAAGAACATATCCTTTCTACATTAAGGTGTTTTTTAAAAAAATCAGATTAATTTAACCAGTTAATGTCAGGTCTGTGATGATCAAGAAAATGAAGGGAAGCAGAAAATATGTCTGTAACTTGGTAAGAAAGCTATTTTAAGTGATATTGCAGATTTTCACATTTATTTTACTCTTTGTCTAAGACTATCAAGTAGTTCTGTAGAATGGACACGGGCAAAAGAGAACAAACCAATTTATTATTTTAATTATAAGAGTATGTCATGTCTGGCCATGCCTCGGGCAGTCATTTACAAATGAAATTCAAGACCAGTTCAGAGGCCAGGTCTACCACATAGAGCAATCACTGAACCTTGCCACAGAACAACTCTCTGGATTGATACAGCAGCACACGTAGCTTTGCATCTTAAACTGTACTTCTTTGCTTCCCTTTCCAGATACTTCACTACATGTAGCTCATGAGAGAGCACAAACTAAAGCCCATGAAACCCTACACATGCAAGAGCTCTAGGAATAGGAAACCCATTGTCTAGTATCAAACAGCAAGTTTTTTCACCACAATTTTCAGAAAAATTATACCTAGAATTGGATAACTGTCAGGCTTGCTCCTCAAGTCAAGGTCACAGCGACTCTGCCTGGTAAGATCCTTGTAGCGTGTTCTCCTGCTCTCCTTAAGTGCATTCAGTGACAAGACTATAAACATTGCAATGTCCTCTACAGTCAAAGCAGCATTTTAACCTTCAACTCACTGAAGGGCATCAGTGAGGTGAAAATAAATTTCTGTCAGTCTGCCTGACAACTCCAGAGTGCTCATCCTTCTTACAGATAGGTAATTGTAAACTTCTCCACCTTCATCAGCTTTTTGAGGAAGAATATGGCAGAACAGAGTGCATCTGAAGAGCATCTAAACATGTCCGTTCCACTACCTGCACCAGAAGGAGCTTCTTCACTGTGTTTATCTGCTGTTACTGTCCCAGGTGTGTAACTCACTTCAGCACCTGACCATCAAGTTCTCTTTTACATATTCTTTGCTATTTCTACTCACAAAACTCCTGGATTTATTTTGTCTCTTCCTCAAAGATGACTGTTTTATAGAACCTACCAGAAACTATTTTTAAATCAATGTACTTATTTCAATGACAGCATTAGCCAAGTCATACCTCCAGCAGTGTCATCTCTTCTGCATATGTTCCTGTAAAATAGAACTAAATCAACTCTAAACATCACACAGACAAACACGGCAGCTACAGCAACACATGGAAATAGTACGGCAAGGACCATTCCAGTTGTAAATATGTGCACAGGCAGATCTCGGGTGTTCCCTGTAAAACAGAAACCCAGGAAATCATAGCCTTAACAAAGTGTATTATATGACAAGATTACTGCATTCAATCCTGAGGGCATCTTAAAATCACCCCAAAAAAATCACAGCATTGATGTGGATCCTTTCCTGCTAATACTTCAAGCACAGACGCATGGCATTTGCCCTGAGATGGAGAAGAACTACGGAACATGGATTACTCCAAAAAATGGAGAAACAATCTGGCACGCATTCACACACCCTCCACACACATAAATGAACTATATGTGGGATCAAGATTGACCCTACAGATCCTCACAGATGTACAGAATCCCAAACTGGTGGTCACCCACTTTCATGAGGGGTTTTCTTCAGGTTCTTTACTATTTCCTATTATTCTCTACCTTTCATCCCTCTCTCAGTCCATCCATAACAGTCCTTAATGTCCCCTTTAATCTATTTGGCCAAAATCTTTCTTTTTTTCTTCTGTCTCTAGTCTCTTTCAGGCTTTTTTTTTTTTTAATTATTATTATTCTGTTACCTTTGTCATTTTAGCTCCAAATACAGATGTTTAACTCTTAAATCTTTTTGAAGTCTTTATGAGGGCACTGTCAAGTCATGCTCATTGTAGTCTGTGTTTCATTTGCTTTACTATATGCATCATCTTTTCACTAGTCTATTTTCACATATTTCCACTCAGTAAAGCTTGGAATGGTCTGAGAGAGATGGAAAACAAAAAGGGAATGCCCATTTGCCATGAATCTCCAGGTTGTCTGGACTATAAACGTGAAGCACAACTATATGGTAGAGGTCAGCTTTCCACAGCTAGAAGAATGGAGTCTCTGACAAGAGAGAAACCGTTGACCAGGACATTTCAGGAATTATCAGGAATAAAAAAGATTGACCTTCCCAGGGGAAAAAAAAAAAAAAAAACAAACAACAAAACAAACAATGAAACACAAACCCCAACCAAAACCTCAGATTTTAATTGTAGAAAGAGCTGCTTAATAAACAAAGTGATCAAAATAGCAGACTCCAGGTTGCACCAAGCTTTGGGTAGTTAACCCCCGTGATCCCACCAACCAGTAAAGTAGGAGAGCACAGGGAATGCTCTGCCATGGGATCTAAAAAAGGGCCGCCCAGGGATCTGTCAGCCAGGGCATAGCTCAGCCTCCCCAGCCGTGTCCACAGCAGCAGCGGCTGATCTATGGAGCCCTCACGCAGCTGCTGTAGCAGACGTGGCAGCAACCCCTGCTGCTCCCGTCTCAGAGCAGGAGGAACCACCCATGGGGTTTCTTAGGTTCAGCACTAGATGGGCCAGGGCCTTCATAAGCACGCAGGCCTATCTGGAGAGACGTTCCGAAATTGGTACCCTGCCCTCAGGATTGAGAAGGCCGGCACCGTTCATAATTATGTATGAGGAGTATGAGTCATGGATTATACCGTACCCTTCTTCAATTTCACTATTTTTATTTGTGTTCTTTCATCAGCTTGCAACATGCAGGTGAAATTATGATGCAAGTCCTCGTCTGTTACTTTTTTAATCCGTAGTAGTCTTGTGACATAGAACTTGTTTCCCAACCTGCAACAAGGAATCATGTGAGCAACACTATTTGTACAAAAACCTACAACCAGCTGAGAGTCAGATTTTGCAAAAAAAGTTCTAAAATAACCTTAGACATTTTACTGAATTTGCAATCCACAAAGTGCAGGACATTACCACATACAAACAAAAGCGCGGTACTTTCAGGAAACCTACTGTAATTTTTTGGAATCTTCTTCACATATTGAAGGTTCATTCTCAGGGATACTTGAGCATTTTTCTGGAAACTTCTGATTTAGTAACCAGTAGAGGCTGGCATCTTCTTGCATATAATAACCCAAGAAACCTGTGCAATTGAGTATCTCTTCTTTACCTAAGCAAAGCATAACATGAGAAGATCTAGTCAGATGTTTCATACGTGTTCCACCTGCACTGGTGGTGGCTTCAGCAACCATGCACAGGGCTCTCTTGCACCCTGTGGCAGAGCGACCAGTCATCCAACTGCTTTCTGTCAGATAAACTCTGTCACAGCCAGAGAAGTTTAACTAGGCTAGAGCATTTCAGGCTTTAGAGAACTAAAGGGAGTTGGGCTTGATGATCCTTATGGATCCCTTCCAACTTGAGATATTCTGTGATTCTATGAACTCGACTGTGTGCTGCAGGCAGAGAACAGAAGATGACAACCTACCATGAGTGACACAGGGCCATGAGAAAGTAAGTAACTGGTTAGGTGAATTACAACCAATTGATTGTAATAGCTAAAGTATACACTATCACACAAAGGAAAACAAAAAAAACCATGTTAGAGGCCCTGCTGAAGTCTCACAGAAGAAATTCTCATCCCAGCTCCACACCCAGAAATCAGCATAATCCTGAATGTGTAAATAAATCACTTAGCCAGTCAACAACTTGGCACCATTTCAGAGCACCAACTGGAAGTGACAGGAACCACCCCTTAGAGTCTGGTTAATTACAAGAAAGAGCAAAAGTAAAAGGCAACTGTACACTTGGGAAAATAAAGGCAGAAGGCTGCAGCTCTGCAGTGTAAGAGTTGATGATTTGCAAGGCATTTTATTTTAAAAGTTGTCATGGGAAGCTTGACCTGAGATTAGCTGTAACTTTACAACACCATGTCTAGGCTATGCCAGCATCATTTCCAGGGAACACATCCAGAATGCCCTGTATTAAGCCTCAAAAGCCATGTGCTCCTGTGCACAGGCCACTACACACAAATGCTTTCCAGCAAGCAAGGTCTGCCCAGGATCACTCTAAGGGCACACGAGACGCCTTCTTCAGATTTATCAGAACGGATGCTTCCAGTGGAACTGCTCAAGAACCTTTAAAGCAGGATCCAGCTGAAAATCTGCCCATCTTAGATTCAGACCTTAGAAATCCAAATCACAGTTGCACAGATTGAAACACAGACCTAAACTTCTAGCATCATTTACCTCACAATCTCAGCCTTTTCTCCCTAAATAACAGCTATTTTGGGGAAAATATTACAGAACACCATCTAAGCAATGGCAGGTTTGAAGGACCATAGACCTAGCTCATGCAAAATTCCCTACACTCCCCCCATGCCATTGGTTTCACCACTCACCAGGTAGTTCAATGACCTTATCAAATGATCTGATCAAGGCAGGTAAGACATGGATGACAGAGGATTCATAATCATTTAATGCTGAACACTACCTTCTAAGGGTTGGGACAAGCACAGTAGGGGGAAGAACTGTGCAGGAAGGGTACACTGGGAGGTTGGGAGCCATGAAGCATCATAGGATTGCATTGGAAAAAGGATATACCAACCGGTATTTGTAGGAAGGAAGAAAAATTATCATCTGAGGTCCTGGCTGAGCAAATGTATTAGCAACAGAGGAGGTAAATATGATTTTTCAGACTTGGAAAGGAAGAACTGTATAACCAGATGGGAGAAGCCCTCAGGCACAGGATAGGAAAAAGACAGGTAAATTTCTGTTTTTAAAAAATATTTACATCCGCGATTGCAAAATCCTGGATCTTGTCCAACACAGTGTGAAGCCTGCAGACCACGTTATCTAACCTACTTCTAGCTAAAAGCACAGTCAAGGGTTTGGCTTTTGACAACATAACCAAGTCTTTACAGCAGTGACAGAGCTGCATGGTCTCATTGCCAGGACTGTCAGCCCTCACACTTTTCATTTCCCTGCAGAGTAATATCCTGAACTGCATCAGGTATTAAGGGGATTACTCATTATTGCTGTTCACTGAACAAACCAGACATAGAATCACAGAACCATTTAGGTTGGAAAAGACCTTTAAGATCATCGAGTCTAATCGTTAACCTAGCACTGTCAGGTCCACCACTAAATCATGTCCCTAAGCACCACATCTAGACGGTTTTTAAATACCTCCAGGGATGGTGACTCCACCACTTCCCTGGGCAGCCTGTGGTGTTTGCTGTCTACAAAATAAAGTCATGGAGAGTTGGTTTATCACCATGACCACTTTCTGTTGCTGGTCATAGCAGCAACCTCCACTTCTGCCTCTGTAAAAGGGTAAATTTAGTCTACTAGTATATCAACCAAGGAATACACTAGGCAAAACATAACCAGATGTGAAGATGCATCAGATGTAGGAGGGTGCATAGACAGTTCTTAGTTTGATTACACTTAACCAGACCATCAGTCACAAAGAGATCAGAACAAAAGCATGTACATGCATTAGCTGCCACAAAGATTCTTGTACTAATTTGATACCTATTTCTGTTTCAATTTCTTCATCACGTCCAACTATCTCCGAAGTTACAGCCTCTGGTGCATCTAAAATAGAAAGAAGTACTATTATTGAAGTAACAGCTTGCTTGCTTACACTCTACCACAGTAAAACTTACACATTTGCTTTATTTCTAATACTAATCACATAGATTTCATTTAATTCAAAGAGGAGTATTTGGACTACTGAGTAGTTTAAACACAGTACATCCTGTTGAATTTTTTTAAAATGCATACGTATACAGTGCACAGTTTACAATGGTTGAAATGGTTCTTCCCCAAAACTCTTACTAAGTTTGTAGGACTGACTTACAGCAGCTAATTTTGAAAAAAAAAAAAAAAAAAACAAACCTGCAGGGTCAAGACACTAAATAAATTTTCCAAAAAGGGTAATATGTCATATAAACTTTTTCTTCTACTTTTTTATTTTTGAAATTATTGTGAAATAGTTCAGATTACCAGATTTTATCACCTTTGTATATATTTATCAAATGAGAGCTGTAATAAAAAATATCCGTAGTAAGGAGAACAAAAAAGCATGCTTCAAAATTTCAGGAAGCTTTCTTACCTTCTTCTACTACCAGCTTAATTGTATTTGTGCTGTGGTATAACTTTCCTTCATGGTTGATTAAAATTTTACAGGTATACATCCCAGAGTGCTGAACTGTTAAGCTTTTAAAATCCAGTTCCCGCTCTGTTTCATTTTCGTATTTCTTACAGTCCTGCATCAATAAAGACAGAAAATCCTATGCTGTAGCAAACATCATTCAAAACCTTAAAGATAAAAATTATTTTTGAAACAAAATGTCACCATCACTCTTTCACTACCTCAGTGACATTTATCTGACCCAAAAGAGGTGAGGGCCCAGTTTTCAGTCATAGTAACTTAAATGCAACATTTGAACATTTAGCACATTAGAAGTTGAGAGTATTGCAATTCCAAGTAAGCATCTGAGTATAAAAATATTGTATCAGGAATTTAAATGCACTCATCTATTTTTTTCAAAATGATGGCTTGGGTCTGTAGGTGTCACCCGCTTGTGGTTAACAGTTATTTTCCAAGCTATCTAGACTTACGAGGAGCTTTCAAGTTAAAGCAAAATGCCTCAACAATACCACCTCAGCGGGTGACAAGAACTGGATTCACATTTGTTTACCCTCGCTATCCCCCAAAACAATCTCTGGTTCATTTGCTTGTTTTTTTTCTGCATAACACATGCTAAGTGAAATGTCTCATGAAAACCCTACAATAATTTGTTCTGGTCTGAATTACCTTAGATTTAAGAAGGTAAATGATTGCTGCTGGAAATTGTCCAGGGAATGGACATTTCCTGCTTACTACCAGGCTCTTATACAAACAGCATACGTGACCATCCCCGTTTTATCTCAGCTTAGGGTGTTATAGGAAGGGTTTGAAAATTTTCACCCAATCAAGCATGGAAGGATATTTAGACCCAGGGATGGCTGCTTCATCTGTCTCACACAGTATTAGGCATAAAAATATTAGGACTTGGTATATTCAGCTTAGCCATGAGAGAGGGCAGTCTGGGTATGCTTCTTTACGGAGGAAAACATCCACCTATGGCCTTATCCATCAACGGTCTTATCCTCTCAGGCCCCAAAGGACAAGGAAGCAGGGCTGTGGCTCATTGTGCCAGGCAGAATCCAGGTGCCCGCACTTAAGCCACCAAAATCCTTTCCTGAAGGTGATCCAACGTGGAGTGAACAGAGTCTGTTACTCCAACCAAGACAGCTGAGAGGAATAAGGAGCATTGGTCAAGGCGATGCATAGGGACAGGGTGGAAAAAACCTATTCAGGGTGCTTCATCCATTGGTTGACAGTTATAAGTGCTTACACAACTATCGCCTATGCTCTGGCAAAAAACAGTAAAGATAAAACCAATGATTTGCCTAAAATGAACAGACCTACATCCGTTACACACTCTGTAAAAAGCGTTCAGAAACAGCAAAATTTGAAAGTTCGCAACGACTTTACAAGCACGTGCCAACTGTAAAACAAATATCTTGGCACCTCGTTTAGTGTCAGGATAATATCTGTATCAGCAAAGTAGCAGCTGGCTAAACCAGCTGCTGGCTAAATCCAACAGACATGCACATCAGATCTTTTATCGTTCCAAGTTTACCTGTTACCAGCTTATTAATAATTTCTGATTACAGGTACGTTTTTCCTAAGAAATCTGAGAGCAAAGACAATTTTTTCTTTGTGCAACTGTCTAAAGTTTTTTTCTCTAATAACCTGAGAGATTAAAGCTTTACAAGGTTTGTAGATGCTTCTCAAAATTTGTTTGTAATTAATTTTCCTGCAATCAGATATTTTATTTCTATAGCCAATGATTTTAGTGAAACTAAATTTTAGTGAAATTACCTTGTACCATGTTATGCTGTCATTTTCATTGACAGACAAATCACTGCATTTCAGTGAATGACCAGTTCCAGCATTTTTAATTTCTGTAGTTAAATGGTTTTTGTTGAAACAGCTGCTTTTATTTCTTTCAAGTACATTCAAGGTCCACTTTTGAATTGTGAAATTTTGCTTTCCATTGCTATGAAAAAAAATTAGCAAAATCAGTTTTAGGAGCTTTTTAAACGAAGGTAGCTTAGTGAGTTATGCAACACAACACAAATAAATTCTGTAATACCTCTGTTAGGTAAAAAGTACATCTACAGCGACCTAATTATTTATATTCCCCTTTATTACTTTTCCACCCCCAAAAATGTGTTATTTTCCATAGCAAAAGACGTTATCTAAACTAAATAATTTATCATAAAACAGTTGACAATACAATGAAATATATGAAATATGACAATATATATGATATCGACCAGAACAAGAATGCAACAATCTGTGGCATCATGTATAGTTACAAGTGAGCATAAAAGAGTTTTAGCACCTTCAATCAGCTACTGATTTTGCAATTTTAATCTCCTATGCATTGCTAAGGTTTAAAGCAGTAACTGAAAAATATGTTTGTAAAATAAGTAAAAAATATGATAGGCAACTCTGCTATTGTTCACAGAGCAACATTATTCATTGTTTGATACTGTGCAGATAGTCATCAAAATTTTGGAAATATTTCTAAACTACGCAAGTCTCATGAATTACAGAATCACTCATGGATTCAAGCACCTCTGCAAAACAAGGCATTTTGGAAAGGATTCATCTCTTCAGTCTGCACTGATGAGAGATCTGCAGTAGCTGACCACCCCGGATTAACTGGAAGAGCCATGAACTACCTCTTCTGAAGCAGAGTCATCATGTCGCGTGCAGCATTCATGAAAGATGAGGTGAATATATTCCAAAAATGCCTCTTTTGAATATCTAGCTGACCACTGTCATTCAGGTATCTACTGTGTTGTATCCACATATTCCTCTAAAGAATCAGATTACAGCTGTGAGTTATTTCATTGCTGGGTATGTCCAAACACATGACTACCAAGGGAAAAGAAGCTGCAGGACTTTTGGCTTAAGTTTGGCAAAGTTGGCCTAACTTTGGCAAAGTTAGATGCTGTGAGTTAATGGGTCAGATTTCGCAATTAGTGCATAAAGCTCTCTTTTTTTACTGAACAAGTAGGGTCTGACAAAGCAAAAGCAGCAGTCACAGAGCACTTCCCTCCAGTGTCAGTCGTATCTTCATAAATATATTTGAATCTGTTTGTGTCCAAGAATAGACTACGGAATCGTTCCCAGGAGAACTGAAACTAGCCGAGAATCATTTTGATGAGAATGGCTAAGGGGACAAAGCAGTTGAAATGGAGAAGCAAGCCTAACAAGTGTTTCGGCTTAAACATCATTCTTGACTGACATGCTTTTCACTGTTATAAGATTCAGAAGAACTACTAGGACATCATTGATAGGACAAATTTAGACCAAGTTTTGGGTTGATCTTTTTTTTCCCTTTTTAAGCTCCCCAAACAGATGTGGTTTTGTATTTTGCTCACCCTCTTTGCATTGTAGTCCTTTTTCAGCCTACACAGGTTCTCCTTGTTCTCCTTCCTCACTTGAGATATTCATTACTCATAATTGCAGTTGACTATCTAAATCAAAACATAGTGGCTTGGTTTCTCAATTAGTTAACTCTGGTGTCATAAACAGGAAAAAACCTTATCAAAACTTTTCCATCAGAGATGTACTCACATGGGTATTCACAGTGGGTGGAGTCCTTCTCACTTATTCTTCAACATCACATTTACATATTTAAATCAGAATTACTAATCACAGTCAGCAGTGGGACCACAGTCAATAGTCACCCTTTTATAGTGCAGTTTATGTGACCTATTTCATACGTTTGGTTTAGGACAAGATAATCTGTGCCCCAGAAAGGCCTCTCTCTCTCTCTCCCCCCCTGACAGTAAAGGTACCCAAGATAAGTTTAGGGGTAGACATAAATACTAGTTCCAGCTAATTCCACTGAGTCTGTGTGTTTCTGGAGGCATCACACTAGTATCTGAATACTGCTGGAGAGGCAATTACAGATCTAGCCATAAAATACATATGATTTCACTACCTAGATTCAGCAGATGGAAGAAAAAAAAAATCAATAAAGCCACATGTTCTCCTCAGCACTGTCACTCCACAGAGGCTTTCATCTGGGATCATGATTGGTGAAATGTCTTGATTTTCAAGATTCTTTCACCATAATTGGTGAAATCCTCAACAGATATGAGGATTTCCCCCAAAGTGGATCAAGATATTCTACCAGATGAGCCAAAATCTGGCAAGGAGCAGCTCCCTGGAAGGTGACAAAACCATACCTATGCAACCTAAGATGAATTTGGCTTATGTAATTTCTAGTTGTCTGCCACATACATGATTAAAAAAATTTTTTTTGCATTAAATCGTATTGTTTAAACTGCTAGTTCCTGAGCCGTTGTATTTCTATCCTGGTTTTTACTTGCTGAGGTTCTTTAGTGATAATTTGTGGCTTAACGGGCTTTCAACTCCCCCCACCAAACCCACCAAAGAGGAACAACAAAAACTAGCTTAACTCAGGAGAGGATATAGGGAAGTGAAAGCCCTCGGAGAACATAAACCAAGCTTAGTGGATAGATAGCCAACTCTAAGTCACCCCTTCGCTATTTCACTGCAACAAGCCAGAGTTATCTCAACATTTCAATCTACTGCAAGAAACTGTCACTCTGCCTTCCGAACTTCAATATTAACTCTAAATGCATGTGTTCCCACTGCTTTCAACACATTGAAAAAGTAAGCAGTATTAGGATCTTGAAATGTATCACGTGTTTATCATGCATCTCTGTACTTTCATTTTTTTTCAGGAACCTGTAAGTTCCCCCAGTTTCAAGGTCACCAACACAGAGAAACCAGATGACCTCCTTTTTTCTATTCTGTTTCTCCCTTTGATAACCACAGGATGTAGACTACAAAAAAACACACAAATTAGAAATCCTGCCAAAGATGTGTGACAGTTTTTCTGCTTATCACTCCTACTAGAAGTGCAGATGAAATCCTTTATTTTCAAGAAATGTTGCTGAAGGTGGACACACTCAGGCGTACAGGTAGGGTAGTGTCTATTAATTCCTAAGTCTACTATACTAAGAAACACACATGAACACATCAACACACACATACGCACACTTTAGTTATCTATGCTATGTCTCAGCAGGACACTTCTGCTTTAACTGGAAAGCTGCCGATTCTTCTTTGAGTCAAAAATAAGTGGATAATACACCATAAATACATTGTTACATCATTTTCACCTCTGGCTTCTTGCATATTGTCAGTTGTAACATATCAGGGAAAAAAAAAATCACTAAATTTAATTAGTTTGCAAAATCTGCCAATATGTGTTGTCTTACTTTGCCCAAAACTCTGCAGTATATTTAATTGTCACTTTGTTCACTTAAACTGCCTAAACAGTTAGAAGCACTCTAAAAATCATTGTCCATATAGCTTACAAATACTTATCTCTAAAGTAAATAGCTGAAAATAAAAATTAAAAATATACTTAAAATGTCTGCTTTGAAAACCAAAACTTTTACCTATTATAAATGCTCTGAAATGAAACTAATTCCATTCTAATTGTCATTCTTATTAAATCTTAAAGCAATTCAGTAGTCCACAATAGTCCACAATTTTCCCTATCAATACAGACTATTAAAGGTCCTCTGTCCCTGCAGAAAGCTGTTTCTGCAAATAATCTTCTGTATTTGCTGAAATGTAACTGCTTTAATATACTTGCCAATAGTGAGAACCAGCACATAAACTATGCCCAGGATCCCATTAAAATCCCACGAAAAAAATCCCCTTATGCCTATTGTTCCAGTGGTGAGACCTGTGAAAGAGTTCCTCCTGCGTGAGGATTGCAAGATTCTGGCATGTGCCTTCATTCTGGTCCTAATAGAAAAATTAGTATCTGTATGTGCCTAACATAAAGAAATTCTGAGGGGAAAAAAAAAAGGGAGAGGAGGCTGTTTCAGAGTGGTCAAAATGCATTTTTTTTAATTAAGAATTATTTTTTTTTCCAAAATAAAAATGCTTTCTTTCAAAACTGGGTCTTAAAAAGTAGTAGCAAAATATAGTCTTAGAAAATGAAACAAAAAAGCAGAAAATCAAAACTCTTAATTCCAAATGAATGTTTTGATGTAATCAAAACCTTTCTTCCGAGTTTCTTGCTTAAGCAAATCACCAAATCAAGACATTTCACAAACGATTCAGACATTTTTGTGTTTTCCAACAGGTACATATTTTAACAAACCTCATCCTAATAGCTTTACCTAAGATCTTTTCCTGTTGTGTCCTTCTATACGTGAGGCTGTTTCCCTCAGTTTTGAAGTTTACATTTTTTTCATATTCATTTTACAGAGTTCTTGTAATTTACTGTGGATTTACTCTCAGTACTCCAAGTCCTTCAAATAATCACAAAACCGCAAGGATCATGAATTAAGGCTGGGGTTATCACAGCTTTCCTCTCTTTTGTCCTTTATTTTAGACTCCTTATGACCACCTCCTTCAGTGGCCTGGCAATTCAGGTATGCTGAATATTCAGGCAATGCCTATCCTTCCCCACGCCGAGGTAAGTCAAAGCATGCATGTTATACCACTGGTTCGGTGCTGGCAGCAGAGCGAGTTGTTAGTTTTAATAGCTTTTTAGCACCATATTTAGTGAAGTGACTCTATAGATGACTGATCAAGGCCATCAATAAAGCCAAAAATGTAAAGCCAAATTCAAGCTTGATATGAAAAGTACAGGTCCATGCCAACAGACAAGCCTATGTCAGGTATTATCTAACATTAACTCCTACACACCAAAACCGAGCAGCTGGCTTCATCTTTGTGTGCTACTTCAGCCAAATGTCTGTACTCCATAACACACCAGCTTTGCACAGTCTTGCACAATGAAGTAGCCAAACTACCATACTCATCACCCCTTAAGACAATTCTCTTAAGATTGGGTTCAACATACGTGAGTAAAATTTTTCTCAAGCTTTACCTACTATTTGGATAAAGAGTGCCCTACAATTAAAAAGAAATCACATAAACCCAGAAGAAATATTCTACCAGCAGACTTTTAATTTATAATATTTAGCATTTCAGATAATGTGACTCAGTACTTTTAAAAATAATATCAGTAAGATGATAATAATAATGATAAATGGGAAAAAAAAAGTGAAGTTTTCAGCTTCCAAGTTAACTTGGAAGTTAACAACTGAAATCTAGCTTAAAAGTGTAAACTATCAAACTCGTGTCTGTGACATTACTGGAGAATGTGGAGAGCGTTTTTCAGCATCTGCAGTGCGATAAACTTTATGAACCAGACAAGAACCTTAAAAATATTACCTGGAGAACAGCACAAATCATTACATGCAAAATAATCTGCTTAAAATTAATTATTTCTTCAATTGTAAATGCGGAATTACAGTTTTGGTGCAAGTTAGTCATAAGAACTATATGCAGCAAACTTTTGATTTGGTCCTTTAGTCTTTCATGGCGGTGTAATTAAGATTACCACCAAATAATTGAAGCCCACCCTCATTCTCCTTCTGACTTACAATGTTCTACAGAGGTAAGAAACCAAATCCAATTATTTCATTTGTTCTTTGAATGGCTCCAAGCATGCAGAGGTTTGCACAGAAACCAGAGTTCAGCTATGCCACTCTTTTTTTGTTTCTTTACTATACAATTAGACCACTTGGCAGGCCTCACAGCATGAGATCCACCCAACACAGTAAGGAAGAACAAGTATGGTGGAGAGGACGAGCAAATGTTTCCTTTTACTATACACCAGGCAGTGGACAGAAGCTTTGCCCATCACTCATTTTGCTTAGGTAATTAATCACAAACCACCAAAAATGCTACCTTATCAAAAGTTTATGGAACCTTTAAAAGGCTGCATCTGCCTATAGCTATTTGTAAATATTCTAGGACTGCCTGGATGGTTATTGTGAAATGATGTGGAAAATGACACCACAGTTAATGTAGTGGTTCCCTGCACCTCCTTTGTATGGGTGCCGCTAGCAATACAAAGTAAGACAAAGAAATTAGCTTCTTCATAGAAGTGCAAGTGCACAAGTGCAAAGGCAAGATGTTCACCCACCAGCTCGTGTACCCACCTGTGAGTGACAGAGTAATTCCCAGAGTCACTGAGTTCAGCTGGCCAAAACTCCAGAAAATTCATTTGGGAAACAATTCTGTGTGTTTCCTTTATCAGTTGCTGCTTTCCAGCATTTTCTTTGTACCAGTTTATTGTGTATGCTTCTTCCTGAAACTGTTCTTGCATTGACTCAAGATAACAAAGGAAAAAATATTCCCCTTCTAGCACATCAATGGAGGCACGAAGGGGACACAGCTTCTCTTCAGAGAAAGAGGAAAAAAGATTCATTAGGAAGCCAAGTACTTCTTTCAGAAAATGACATTAGCTTGACTTCAAAGTGATTTGCTATGCCACTGGTCTTTTATAAAGTGACTTTCCTCTATCAGAGTGGTTTGGCAGTATTTATTTATTTCAGCAATATTTATTGCAGTCTAAGAACTCGGTTTTCCAAGTCTTTATTCTACCTCACACAAGCAAAACCAGAAGGCAAAGAAGGGTAAAGAAAGGGCATTTCCCTAAGCTTCTTTCACATGGGTCCAACAGTGTCAAAATCAAATGGGCATAAACAGCAGAATCTGGCTTCATTCTACAGTAAAGCAGCTGCCACAAATAGAAGGGGAAAGAAGAAATTCTTACAGATGGTTTGACTTCACAAATACGGCTAATCCTCAGAACTGGTTAACTGCCATAAGCAGAGATCCTATGAATTAACATTTGCATTTTCTTACCTTCTTAATTAAAACTAAATTATTAGGTGGCTAGATTTCTTAAAAACTTCAGATATCTAGAAAAGTTGCCTTGGAATGAGATTACACGTGTAAAATTTAGTCTTAAGGTCTGCTTTTCCAATCAAATTTCCCAGATGCACCTTTGCCTACAGAAGTCATAAAAATAGAGAAGAGGGACTTTGGTCTAGCATTAATAGTGCAGAATAAAAGAAGCCTTCAGTCTCTATTTCTCCTGAGGTTCTCAGCGATTACTGCTGTTCAGCAACTATTGGGACCACACTTCTGAATGGCACAAAAAGCAGACTCGTTCCCCTCCTTGCTGTGGCTCTTCATACAGCCATGCTCCCATACAACATCATCAGGTGTCTCCAGGTAGCATCTCTGCTCTTCTTACTTCATAGTTTTGGTATTTTGGACCAAATTTCTGAAGTCTGGAGTCAGGCTGAAATTGCCAAAATTTTTAAGATTTTGTTCTTAGCTGCAAAATACAAAACTTTCCCCACTCCAAGCAACTGTCAAGATGATGTTATATATTCAGCAAATATTTTGAAGGTTCTATTGTTGAAATGAAGATTTGTACTTACCAGTGGCAGATTCAATGATAAACATTAAAAAAAAAATCATCAGAGTCATTTCCCTGAGTTACTTCTCACTGCTCCAGAAAAAATGAAACTCAATTGTTCTTGCTTGTACTGAAAGCCTAAGAAAAACAGATTCACAATTCATTGCAAGCATGGTGAAACAGATTCCTGTGAGCATATGAGCAGTGTAACTATTGCCTGGTACTGAAGAGGGCTTTCCAAATGGAAAGTTACACATTTTTATCATAACAGCAATTTTCATATATCAGGCAATGTATCTAGATTTTTCTTGGCAAGCTTATTTTAAATTCAGAAAGCACTGCAGGGTTTCCTTGCTCCATTTTCTTGCTCACTAGATATATTTCACATTCCTGATTAAGCTGACAATCTTAGAGAAGCACTCAAACTTAGATCCCAAGCCAGTAGACGTCTACCATGGGATAGGACAGTGCTTTTTCCTCCACAAAGAGTGTAAACTTTGCAAGACTGGACCTTATAGAAACAGCTAGTAGAAACTTCCCTTGCCTTCGATAAGAACAGCACAAAGTTGATAGATGGGACATCTTGGTGGCTAATTTTGAGCCTGTTAGAAAACAATGAGATCTACAATTTTTTTCTTACAATTTTGTCTATGGAACCAATAAGCACCAGCTGAGAGTGCTAACGTTTCCACTGAGGGGGAGGGGATGAAGAAGCTCATATTCAATTCCTTCATATGCAGTCAACTGTGCTTTCAAAGGCAAATGGAAAACAGCACTGAATGATACCAGCATGGAGCATCTTCGCCAAGATTCCTCAGAATAGCAGGTTAACTGATAACCAAAGGCAGAGCCAGACCGTGCCTCTGCTTACAAAACAGACAGATTAGGTGTATAATAATCTCAGTTTAACCTCTGCAGCCAAGACAGACAACGTTGCTTTGTCACCCACCTGAACATGCATGGACAAATGAGACACACACACACAAGACATTTCACAGAGAGCTGCCAAAAGAAATCTCGTTAGCATTCTGTTTCTTTGGTTTTATTACCCAAACCTCTTGCAATGTGAGAAAGCACGTATTTAACTGTTGTAAGACACCTCCCTGAGATTTACAGTCAGAAACTTCCTGTGATCTAAAGCGGCTGGAGGCAGGAGGCTACTGCATTTCCAGCAATATTCCAGAATGACATCAAACTGTCATTGCTCTCCCTCTCTTACTGTTCTCCCCAGTTCGTTACAAGTATGCCATCATCCCATAAATCACTGTAAGGAGATGAAGGAACTGTTTCACATCCCCTTTTTCAGACTGACTGGTAGACAGATCCAGATTCAGAAAGCAGCTAAACAAAGTTGGATGCAGAGTACTGCAACAAGCAGCTCTGAAGGGTCATAGAGTAAACTCCTCAGACCTGGTTTCTGTTCCCCTCTACACATGGAGATTCAAACTGCTACACTTTACAAGGAAAGGGCCTCTCCTTATTTTCATTTCTTGAATTTACTTTTCATTTTTCACCCTCTCACATCCAGAAGAAATACAGCTGCTACAGACTATGAAACTATGATCCACTACATAAAGACAAAATCATCTATTGACAGATTTTTAATTCTAAATCCCATTCTTTGTTGGCACATCACATCAGCACGCAGTGGAAGTTTTAAGGAATGCAGAGCAGAGCCCTTCATTCTTTTAGCAGAGATTAAAGAACACAGTATAATGCAAGATACTTAGTAATAACTGGGTTTGAGATTAGTGACTACTATTAACAAGCAAAACACAGGTCCTTAATCTCATGCTCACATTGCTGTTGAACCTGACCAATTTGTCTGAAATTGTTCTACTACAGGCTAACAGTATTTACACTTGAGCCATATGGTTTGCACAATCTTTGATGAAACACTGAGGGGGGTTGGAGAGGAAGGGAAGATAAACGCTTTTCATGAAACTCAGATGATATAAAGAAATTCTTCAAGGAACAGAATAAGATTTTTGATTTTCAGAAAGAAACTGAGAGATACTTTAAAGGCAAAGATTCTCTGCCTAATAAAGGAGTAGAGAAATACTCAACGGACAAAATGCTAAGGCAATAGTGGGGAATGAATGACAGTTTCAACAGAAAAAAGTATATAAAAACCAGTTATCTATAAGGCCCAAAGCAATAATAGCTTTAAGCATGTTTTTCATGTCATACATGCTTAAAGCCACGGATGGAATTTTAATAATAAAAAATTGTTCTTAAAAATCATTGTGTCATTGTGAAGCCAACAAAATCTTTAAACAAACTGAAGGTTTAAATTCTGTAAAGTCTATTAATTCATTAAAGACTTCATGAAGTATAGACAATTATGTGTACTTAAGCATCATTATAATTATTCCTCATTTTCCTAGAATCATCAGAAGATTTTGGAATGAAAGCGAGCTGGTACATCAAAGCGATCCTCAATTTTTGTCAAGTAACTGCTTTTGATCAACACTTTTGGAAATCCAAATTTGGTCCCAAAGGGTTGCGACTTCCTTTTTTTTAAACCCAACAGATTCTTCTGAATGTCAGAGTGTTTCAACAAACATTTCAAGGTCAAGGGAGGAAAGCACTCATCTTACCTCTTTAAGGATGGCTTCTTATGGAATTTAAGTCTTTTTTAAATATCATCATACAGCACTATAATTCACGTAGGATTCATGAAGGAAACAACAGAATCTAGCAAGCAGTTGCCTTAACCATACTAAGTCTAATTACCATTCTGCCAGGGTTGCTATTTATTGCTTAAGATGAAAATCCATCTTCATTTCAAACCACACAACTGAAGTTGTGTACTCACTATGCAAGTCTTGCTGGTGGAAAGCAAACGCAGAGGTAGTCTTCCAAACTCCAGAGAGTTACAACGTGTACTTGTAAATCTTCTGAACCTAATTCATCACTGAAACCGAGAGCAATCTCTCTCAGCGAGTGAGTCAATACATAGACAGCTCAGTCTGAAAAACCTCCTGAAAAAGGAAGAGTGGAATTTCTCACTTTATGAACTGTTGAGTGCAGAGAGGAAAACGGAAAAGGTAGATGCGAGAAATTCCTCTTTACTAGCATTAATGGAAAGGCAATAGCAAGTTATGAATATTAACCTTTCTAAAGGAGGGCGTGCAAGGGCTGACACACAAATGTTCTAGGCAGCATCTTTTGCTGCTACCATCTACAATAGCACTTCAGGAGCCTGTTTGGCTCCAAAGCCACCTTAGGTGTGAGGGAAAGGGCCGGGGGCAGTCCGGGGAGGGTGACTTTGGGGTGCTAGCGAGGGGCTGTGTGTTGAAATAAGCCCTTTTCAGAGCGAAGTTATTTATGCCGTCTCTGTAATAAGGAACTAGTACATCACGGGCCCGGACGAGAGTCGGAGAGGGGCCCGGGCCCGGCGGCGCGGGCAGGGGAAGCGCGGCAGAGAAGGCAGGGCTGGGGGGACCAGGCAGGGTGCTCCGGAGAGGGAGCCG